TGTATTTCGCTTAGTATAACTTTTTTCGCTTAGTATAACCACACGAAATTTGCTTAGAACCCTGCCGTAAAAATTGTATTAGACAGAAAATAAAAGATAAAACATTGTGATTTCAACTTCGGCCTCAGCTTAACTGGGTTCAACTCCGATGTGGGCTCACCAGATCAAACCCGCTGACGGGTGATTGCTGATGGCGCCTATCGATAGGACTAACTGAGAGACAGGCGAAAGGAAGGGTCCGCATGGTGTGGTGGTGAACGTGTTACTCTCCGGAAAGGACAATAGAGCGTTCGTTCTCTACCCTAGACACCTGTGGTCCGGAGTTTTGCAAATATCTCAGCTTAGTTGTGGTTACATCACTTGTATTATTTATTCGCGGCTGTGAAGATAGAGTAGGTCTAGCTATAGCTTTTAAAGTAAAGAAACATATAATGATGATCAATCGAACTGCATCGGCTGTTGCAGCCATATGCACAGGAAGGAGTAAATCAGATTTCTCGAGTCTGAAAATTATCTGATATATCACAATTTGGCAAACGAAGAATTTTAATCGGAGTGAAAGCGATATGATTCTTCATTATCACTATGGGGGTAGAAAAGGTGCGCTGAAAATACGGTTGTGATGGGAAGCATTAATGAAAACAGGACATTTCGTGCTTCAAAGATGGTGTCACTCGGTATTTGCTGCAACATAAAGTCGTTCGCGTCACATGTCCTAATTCTCCTTGATCATCGCGGATCTATAAGTCATTTACAATTTCTGTGCTTGTTTTCCCACTAGAGACGGAATTGTCATAATCAGTCGTCCGAAGCCTGCGAGAATTTGCCGGACCAGAAATTGAATCTAAGCAATTTCTCTCCTCGTATACCGTTCGCTTCAATACTAGGGTGATTAAGAGCTCTTAGGGACCATTAATAGACGATTATATTCACATGGTTATTTATTTAGTCCTTGTTGGAATATCCGACATTACATTTAAAACATAGTGCGGATCCAAGCACTTTTTGCATGCGAGTCGTTCCCTCGCATTCATCGCTCACGAAGACCTTCAAAACTTTTTCTGATTGTGTTCGACAGCCTCAGTCTTGATTTCTGAGTCCTTCTTCTCGTAATACCGTCAACATCATTCTCGTTACAAAAGTTCTGTTATTGATGACAATAATTGTGCTTTTTAAGAACACTGCCCGACTGTTATCGGAACTGCACTACGAAAATACAGCTTTTCCATCGACCTCTTACCATACCCATAGGAAAAGGGGCTCGACAGGGCGACACAATATCGCCAAAGCTGTTCAGTGCTGAGCTGCAGTGGAAGATGAAGTCACTCGATTGGGATGACAAAGGCATACGTATTGATGCAAAATTCCTATCAAACGTTCGTTTCGTCGGCAACATTGTTAACTTCTCAAGAAATATCAGCGAAGCAAAGATGATGATCAATGGGCCCAACGAAGCGGCAAAGAGATCGGACTACGCATCAATCCATCAATCGGAAAATGACTCAGTTCATGAAAAGCTATGGTGCAAAGGCGAACAAATTGAACTGGATGACTATAAATAAAGAGTCAAGAATACTTGCTTAACGATCTGATTGTCGATAACAAATTCCTGAGATGATCGAGTCTTCTTAGTCAGGGCTTTCGTATCAATCATCAAATCCATCGAACCTATGTACTGCTACAGTCTTTGAAAGTTTTTCTCTTCAAATAAAATTTTGCTTACTTCTAATGAGTTGAAGAATAAATACATGGCAATGCATTCGACTTCATTAAGCATCGTTCGAAGCTGATTAAATGCATATCTGGTCCTTACAATAACTCACGATGGCCCATCGATGTATAAAGCCAGTGCGGCTATCTTCCCAGACAAGTTGATACCAATTCGCTGACCCTGGACGGATGGAAGGCTTGGTGGGCCCATGGGCTCGGAGATCGGTTCCACGTGTGTGTTACAGGGCGCCTTTGATCACTGCGCCACACGCGCCCTCATTCCCATGCTAACTTACCGCGATTTTTGTTTATATTCATTGCTAAAAATTGTAGCTGTGTTTGGAGATATATAAAGGTTCCACTGACAGTGAAGATTATTGGAATGAGAACATCACACAATGTGAAGTACCGTTTCCCAATTAACCGTATCTATACAAATTCTCTCCTTCTTTCTTTTTCTCTACAAGAATTAATGTCTCTGCTCTCAATAATAAAGAGATCCTTATCCCCTTAAAGAGTATTTAACAAGTCACTGCTCTACTTTGTAACCGAGGATCTGCCAAATTCATTCAGAAATTCTGCCATGTTCCATCACGTTTGCAGGTTTTCCTGTTCGTCTTTGTTCTTGTGTTTCACCTCAGCTGACCGCTTTACAAATGTTGCCTTTCATTGGTTGCTTAACAGCTATTTGTATTTGAAGTAACAACTTACTCACTTGTTTCTAAACTTTTCATTTTCATCTGTCAACATGAGGTAGCGTATACGACGAATTTCACAATCACTATACATTCAACGAGATCGCCAGCACGATAGAAGAAACAAGAAACTTGATATCATCGTAAAAGATAAATTTCGCTCATCACTTGTTGAAGACATTCAAAGGGCGTCGACATTCACCCATTGTGATACACTTTCCTTGGGCGGAGCGAAAGAAACCTGGATTGCACTGACATTGTGGAATACCGCACATTAGTGGACAACTCTGAACAACTAAATTGTCTAAAGCATGGCACGAATATCTCCTCGAAATAAGACACTGTGCAATACACGTAAGTTATTTGGATAGTCGTAATTCATACAAAAAAGATAAAGCTATCGGCTTTGATTAAGCCCTGAGGGACGCTCCTTGAGTTCGACTTCATTAAGACTTTATTCGTTTGAAGGTGATTAAATGCATATCTGGCTTTTACAATGACTCGCGGTGGCCTACCGATGTATCGAGCCAGTGCTGCTATACTCCCAGACAAGTCTGGTACCAGTTTGCCGACCCCTAAAAAACGGAAGGTTTGGTGGGCCATGGGAGCGGGGACCGATCTCACGTATGTGTTGCAGGGCGCCTCCGACCACTGCGCCACACGCTCCCTCGTAATTTATATAAACGTGGAGAAAGTGGATATATTTTGCTGTCCGTGCTATTTCCAAACTAATAAAAACCTATGTGGAATTATTCTACAAATGATAAAAATGTTTTATTAGAATTAGAAGTGCAGTAAAGGGTATTTTTAGAGATCAATCTTATAGAAGAAGGTAGAGGAAACTGGCACATTATAGCCGAGATTTGCAAGTAGTTTTAACAACGTTGAGTGGACTCCTTTCTTGAAAATCCATTACTATGCACTTCCTAGCTAGCCGTAGACGAATCAAATTGTGTAATGCGTTAAGTTTTATGAGTATTTGACCCACAGGATTCATATCTGTGCAACTTGGCTCGCATGTAGAACAATTACGCCATGACTCGTTCGCTATACAGTGCTCAGTGATATCCGGAATGCAGTTTGGCATTGGCGCAGCACAAGGCGGCACTCGACATTCCGCGCTCACCATTGAGCATCTGCTGCCAGCAGAACAGTTCACATCGCTACAGCTGCTTGGAACCAAGGCGGAAGAATCTGAACGACAGTTCTGATATTTGAGAAGGTAGGTAATCATGTAAAGGAAAAGTACTTTATATCCAGTATTTAAGGTGTTTGATACATAAATCGTATAACCATCTAATTCTTAGTGATTAGCACAAAACACTGCGGGATCTTGAGGAAAGCGCAATTTTAAAGCAGACTTCGGCAGAAAGGACTAGGTATTCCAGTGAGGTCTTCATAACTTTATGATTATGATATGCAAATAGAAATCAACTTTGGTTTTTTTATTTAGTGATATTTCGATAAAAAAACGCAAGTAAATAGGCAAAACAAAAAACCTTGCTTACCTAAGCTGCATGCACTTTTGGGTACGCAGTGGTTCGATGAGTTGCGAACGAAACCGTCACGACATTGGCACACATTCGACACGCACTGTTTTGTGCAATGCTGCAACATTTGACCCTGACTCGCTATGACTAGTCAGCATGCATTCTTAATTAAAAATATGCATTCCCTAAAAATTACAATAACACGTAGATGGGCTCGGCCTCGTCCATCGACCAGGGCAGTTTGATGCCTTGGTCACAGGAATCGATACTACCTTTTGAAAGACATTAGATGCGAGAGAGTAAATCTTTTTTGAATCTACAACCATCGGTGAGCACAACTGATGACAATATGGGAACGCTCTGACTCAGATATCTCCGAATTCTGGACAAAATTACGCTCGGAAAGTATGTAATATAGGAGTGAGGAGACTGGTCTTTGAGCTGCAGCAAGGTAAACCTTTTTACCAAGATCGTGTCAGCTTAATAATCAAAGTAGCTATTGATTTTTAATTCCGAAGTTAAATGACGGTCGGTTTCAAATATGTTAATCCGCTATGATCAATAGGTAGTCATTATCATCAACAACCATCCAGTATAAAAGAGCATCACCAAACGAAGCCACTTTATTCGAGCGGTTCCCCACCGGAGAGGGTTCCATGCGAACGACTACTAAGACCCAGAATGCGAATGCGAACGACCATGCACCACTGAAGAAAAGAAAGGCGTTGAAACATTGACTTAATAAATTTTTTTACCAATTTCGCACACTAGCTTTTAGTAATTTAAAAAGGTATCAATCTCGCACCCTTTTACAGACCAAACTAAAAAATTAGACTTTCCTAAGACAAAAACGAACCGAATAAAATACATCGGGCGGAACTAGGCTTAAAATTCAACTAAAAATACTTTTAAAATTAAAAGCGAAACTTGTCCAACTTGGTTACAGAAGGTAAAAAAGCAAAAAACAATGAAGATAGAAGATTAAAATCTGAACATCACAAGAACTGAACCTACCGGGGTCGCATCAGAGCATGTCGGTTCACAGGCGGTACCACACTGCTTCATCTCTTCATTAAGCCCACAGTGACGAAGCCCTTGAGCAAAGCTACTTCGTCACTGATGTGCTATTAATATGCTTACAAGGAGAGGACAAAATTTGACCTGAGTTACAATCGGCGACGCATTTATTCTCGAAATTACGGAAGAGGCCATGCTTGCATTGGCAGACATTCGGTATACAGTCTGCGGTGCAAAAAAGCTTAAGTAGAAGGCTTAATGGACATAATTTATTATTTCCTGTATTGACTTTACTCATCAAGTTTCAGACTTGGGAATGATTATAACACGCAGAATTCTGCTCTTTAATTACAGGAGATAGAAGGATTAGCTAGAAATTCAGCAGCATAGATAATCTCTCTGAATGAACTCTATACACAGGCCTTAGATTCAAACCACAGGTAGATTACTCCTCATGTTGTATAAAACAGAACACACAGAATCTCACCGGGTTAGGATTCTTACAACTTGGCTCACAGGCCACCCCACATTCGTTAAATTCTTCGTTTTCTGGACATTCGTGTGAAGGAATTGGATCTTCAGCTGGAAGAAATAAAAAAAAGCTGAAATTTAATCTTTACTTGTTCAAAAAAAGACAAAATTGAAAGATAAAAAGGGAAAATGAAGGATAAGTTGAAACAGAGTGTCTAACATACTGCTGTTACAATTTGCTACACATTCATTGTAATCATTGCGAATGAATCCGCGTTTACATTGACAACCAATTACACATTGAAGCGTACAGGCGCTCTAGAAACGGTTTGCCATCAAAACATAATGCTTGCGAAACTGTGTGGTTATAAAAACTGTAAGAAAGACTAACCGGTGTTGGATTACGACAGCTTGGCTTACAAGACGAGCCACATTCGCTGAACTCTTCGTTCTTAGCACACTGTCGTTGTCCCAATAAATCTAGGTGTTTTCAACTTTTTGAAAGATAGCAAGAAGTAAAAAGCAGTAATAACTTCACGAATTTTATAGTAGACATAGACAAGAGTTCTTTGTTACCAAAACGTTCCATAGCTAGCAACCAAATAGATAAGGAGGAAAACATACCTTGTTTGCTAAAACGAATAATACTGAGTGCACAGGTCAAGCTCTAAAAGAAGAAAATTTAGCAAAAATACGGGTTGCACAAGGCATTACATAAACGCAAAACACCAGAAGGTTCAGTTATGCTGACAAGGTAAGCTAGCACATCACAACTTTATCAGTTGTAGTCTTTTTGGTTATCGAGTGACTCGAAGAGTGATAATTTTCTAACAATTTCTTTTTGTTGATTAACTTCTCAATGGTCTCATACATAGTGCTCCCTCATCTCTGAATTGAGTGAAGGCCTGTCTTTAAGCTGTTATACCTGTGTTATCTTTTCTTGCCGTAAAGATCCCATAAATGTAGGTATACTTTTCTAAAGTAAAGAAACGCACTATGATGATCAACAACATTGTATTGACTGTTGCAGCGATGTTCATAAGAAGGAGTCTGACGGCTTTTTCAGGTCTGGAAAATATCCGATTTATCAGTTTTAAAAAACGAAGGATTTTAACATACGGTGAGCCAAATAGTTCAACACTATTACTCACTAAGGGCATAGAAAATATTTGTGAGTGAGGACGTTAGTGAAAGCAGAAGGCTGAGTACTCCTAGGATGGTGTAAGTGGGTTTTTCTATAATAGAAAGAGATCAAACGACAGTGCCGTCGCATCTCCTCTTCATTCTCCTTCAACATCGTCAGCTTGGAAGTTTTACTCTAATTTATACATTTTGTGCTTCTTAAACTATTAGTCAGAGAACCGTCGCTTCTCCTCAATTGAAGCACTCAAAAATTTCCCGGATCTAAAATTTTAACGTTGAATGGAAGTTGTTCCCGTTCAATACCGCTTACTAACAGCTCTTTAATAAAGGATGAAGCTCCCAGCGTTGATCAACACCTGAGGGATGCGCTATGCATTCGACTTCATTAAGAATCGTTTGGAGGTGATTGAATGCATATCTGGCCTTTACAATGACACGCGGTGGTCTACCGATGCATCAAGCTAGTGCTGCTATCCTCCAGAGAAGTCTGCTACCAATTTGTCGACCACAGAAGGATGGAAGGCTTGGTGGGTTATGGGCGCGGAGATCGGTTCCACGTGTGTGTTACAGGGCGCCTTTGATCACTGCGCCACACGCGCCCTATTAAATTAAGAGCTCTTAGGAACCATTGGAACCATGGGCTATAAAGCTTATTTAGCTTTTTATTTATCACTCGTTGCAAGATCCAACACCACATTTATCGCATTGTGCGGATCCCAGCACTTTTCTATGCAATTCACTTCCTTGCATCCATCATCCGTGGTGGCCTTCGAACTTTTCTCCGTGTGATTTCGGATTTTGTTTTTCTGTTTGAGAAATTTTTTCATCTTCACGACAAATGTCAATTAAATGCTGGGAGGGTAGCACCTTTCCGGAACCCCCTGATAACCGTGCTAAAGTGTTTTCACAAATAATGATGTAATAAAAATTGAGCTTTTACTACAGCTCAGTTTGCTTACTACATGAGCTCTTTTAAAAGGTAACGCACAAGATGTATGCGTCAAGAACAAAGTGTACGAAGTGAATAGCAATTTTGCTCCCTTCGCACCCATCAAGGCCTCCACTTACCAAGAGTATCATCCACTGCTTAAAAACTAGCATTGTACACTTTTTTCATTTACAACTTCTACACGAGAACCCACCACATATTGCATGGTTCGCAGCACTTACATTAAATTCGTTTTCTCGCATCCATATTTGATCGTCTTCAGGTTTTGAGAGTAGATTAGGCTTCTGTTTAAAGATTTTCAATCCTCTTTATGGGTTATGCTGAGTGCTGGTTGAATCGATTTTTCCAGAAATCCTCAAATAGCAGTGCTGGGACGTTTCCACATCTTCATTATTGAGGGAAGTGAGCTGATCACATGCAAGTCTGGTCCCAATCCTTCGACGCTGTAGGGATGAATGCTTTATTGACCATATGTGGGTTAAAACCAAGGCCTTATGAGCGTTGAACTGCATTTTTACTCACACCGCGATGTACAGTGAGGGATCGATCCCCTGGCAGGGTCTCCCAAGCTGAGAAGGAGTCCGGCGTTTCCATCAGGAAGCCTAGATAAGAGTAAATCAATACCAGGGTCCACCATCGTCTTGGTATCAAAGTCGCATGGTGGTAAATCTCCCTCTGATCCACAAAGGCGGCGACTGTCTGTGGTGGTGACGACCTGAGGCAGAACTTTGATCAGGTTGGCCTCAGGATTCCAAGGAACCACATTGGCTTAACCAGCAAATCTCCGGAAAGATAGAGATGATGCTGGAGCCCACGCAACTAGTGAGGACGGGCCATTGAAGCATCAAGTGTCAAGTATAAACAATATCTCCTCTGAGCATTTTCGTGTCACCGACTACGATTTTGTCATTAAAGGTACACTCAATGCAATGATTAACAAACTTAGCTTGTAAAATGAGCAATTTACACGGTGTCTTCTAACTCACCCAGAAATTATCCCTTAAGAGGATAACTATGAAGCTCTATAGAAATAGTACTCATTTCGCGGTCTTCAACATCTTCGGTAAAATATATATTCTAAGAGCACCTGCATAGCTCCAGTGAATGAGTAAATACCAAAGCACCCCAAAGGAAGAACACGCCATCAACTTCAATATACACGAGGAATTATAGAAAGCGTTAGATGGGCATGGAGTAGTTTAGTTTCGAAGAGACTTTGAGCAATGTCTTTAGTTTTCGCAGCTTCCTAACTACTGCTCGCCTTCTCATTGAAATATACTTTTCCCGCAGAGTTCTCATCCGTCTGAATGACTTGTATAGTACGAAAGTAGTTTTCTTGTTTAGTTACAGAAAGGATGGTTGATGGAATCACTGTGGAAAACAACGAAATGCACTGAAGAAAGTACACCAGCGATTTATTCAGGCCCTCTGTTCGAAGAAAAATGCTAATGTGCATATTGCCTTGTGTTAAATCCTCTGCGCTCATAATTCATAACCTCCTCAAAAACAGCCTTCCTTGGGTCAGTTAGTAGCCTTCATAAACTGCATCGGAAGAGAGCAACGCCTTGTGTTATGAGATTCGTCTAACTGTCATAGGTGAATGTTGATTGAAATGAAGTGTAGGAGATATTTATACCTGCTGAATCGCTTTCGGTCATGCTAGCAATTATAGAGTACAATTTTTCAGTGTTTATAGGTGTAATCACTACTAACAACCGTGTTAGGATCAATGAATTAACCTTTACCTTCTTTCCAACTATTTATTACTTTCGCTTTCTGTGGTTTCCTGTTAAGCAAATACAGAGGTGGCCGAGGAATGTTAAACCTAAAAGAGACTGAGCGGAGGTGATCATCAAAGGTGTGTAATATTTTGTGAGAAACAAAATAGTTTCTTTTTACATGACCCGTCTTCCATATCTGCTGTGCGGACCTCAACACTTCTTGCATTCGACTCCTTTCCTCGTTTCCATCATCCACGAAGGTTCTCCAACTTTTTCGTGTGGATTCGGCTGCTGCTTGAAGTTTTTCCTTTTGTCCTAAATGCCGTTGAATGCTAGTCGAGTTGATTCCCCATAGAGTGCTGAAATAACTGGGCTAAACTATTTCCACTGTGATTGCAGAGGGTGGACTTTCTCCTAGTCAAATCTGGTGCTAATAGCCCATCCTCGGAGGAATTAAGCGACATGGTAACCTTGTAGTGGTGTCGAACTAACACCATGATTCCGATTATTGGTATCCCTCCCTATGCCACTCACTCTTGGGAGAAAAGGTAATAGCAAAAAAAGGTAAATGTGCATTTTCTCGCGACGAAGAAAATGAAAATCTGTAAATAGAGAATAAACAACTAATTACTCTGACGTAGCTTGAAATTTTTATGTGCTGAACACCTAGAGGTTCTATTTTTTTATAACATGTGTAGAATCCGGTTTACTCGAAAAAAAAATGGACGAAAGAGCGAGTCCGTCCTTTATCTGGGCAGAGAAAACGACCCATACCAATGACAGTGAGTCCTTCCAAACACACGCAATACTACCAAGAAAGTGTTGTTAAAATGCGTTACAACGTTAATATTAAAGGTTTTGTAACAAAGACGAGAGCTACGAAAAAAGCGAAGAAGTTCTAGAACGAGTTATTCATCTCCTACGATAACAAACATTTGAATACTTAACTAGAAGCGTAATAGTAGGATTTTCAAAGCGGACTGTAGATAAAAACAGTTCCGTGCCTCTTCTGTTGAAAAAAAAGCGAGCTAGTTCCTAGTCACATGTAATTTATGAAGGGTTATGAATTCTGTAGAGTAAGATGAAGGATTTTTAATGATCAGAAGGTGAAGCCATCCACTTTGATGTCATGAATTCTGGTGAAGTCATTGCTGTAGAGAAGTACAAGAATAAGATATCCCCTCATCTAGCATATTCACTATCTAGCTTCTAACTGGACGACTATCACATTTTCAAGCACTTCTCTCTTAGAAGATCTTCTTGAACTAGGCTGATGACGTAACAATGCTTCAGAAAGTCCTTAGGCTCCAGAAGCTTACTATTTAAGCATAACGTAATGAGTAAACCACTCTCAGAAAACATAAATCTGGGTTATTACGACTTTCATTCCTATTAACACACGCGAAGATTGTCTATTTTTTTCTAGCACGGGGTCTGCATGGAAAAATTAGCTCGAGAAGAAAGAAGGATAGAATAGACCGCTCACCTAAGTACAACATATGTGTTGAACATGTTTTGCAATGAGGACAGGAAATGTAGGAATTAAATGCTTTACGGATAAACAAACGGTCAGTGAACATGTGCATTTAGGCCCATTCAAGCCGTCCACTCTACTTATCCAACTATGCATCCTTCATTTTATGTGTATTAAAATCGTTCACTATGACCTGGTATTTGTGTATTTGAAATTTTAAATCTAAAGGTGGCACTAATTCTAGAAAAATGGTACTTACTATGCCGTTT